TACTAATACTACTACTACTACCACTACTACTACTACTACTACGACTACGACTACGACTACTACTACTACTACTACTACTACTACTACTACTACTGCTGCTGCTGCTGCTGCTGCTAGTACGGCCAGGACTACTACTAGTACTACTACTCCGATGGATACGACGACTACTACTACTACTACTACCACTACCACTACTACTACTACTACTACTACTACTACTACTACTACTACTACTACTACTACTACTACTACTACTACTACTACTACTACTACTACGGCAACGACGACTACTACTACTACCAGTACGACCGAAACTACAAGTAGTAGTAGTAGTAGTAGTAGTAGTAGTACTACTACTACTACTACTACTACAAGTAGTACTAGTACGCCTACGACTACGACGACTACTACTACTACTACTACTGCTACTGCTACTACTACTTCTACAACCACTTCTACTACGACTACGACGACGACTCTTACTACTACGGCAACTACTTCTACCATGATTACTAGCACTACTACGGCTACTACGACTACTACGACTACTACGACTACTACGACTACTACTACTACTACTACTACTACTACTACTACTACTACTACTACTACTACTACTACTACTACTACTACTACTACTACTACTACTACTACTACTACTACTACTACTACTACTACTACTACTACTCTACTACTACTACTACTACTACTACGACTACTACTAGTACTACCAGTGATTCTACTAGAACTACTTCTTCTACGGCGACGACTCTAACTACTACTACTACTACTACTACTACTGCTACTGCTACTGCTACTGTTACTACTACTACGACTACTACTACTACTACTACTACTACTACTACTACGACTATAACTGCTACTACTACTACTACTGCTGCTACTACTACTACTACTACTACTACTACGACTACTACTACTACTACTACTACTACTACTACTACAGCTACTGCTACTACTACTACTACTACTATACTACTAGTACTAGTACTGTACTAGTACTAGTAGTACTAGAACTAGTACTAGTACTAGTACTCGTACTACTACTACTACTACTACTACTACTACTACTACTACTGCTACTACTACTACTACTACTACTACTACTACTACTACTACTACTACTACTACTATTACTACTACCAACTACTACTACTACTACTACTACTACTACTACTACTACTACTACTACTACTACAACTACTACTACGACTAGTACTTCTACTACTACCACCACTGCGGGGTGTGGCGCAAAGAGGTCGCGGCCTGTCCGGGAGGGCAGGGAACCTCTTTGAAGGAGCCCAGGGACACAAATAAATACACAGAAATCCCAGGGCTCTCCACGTTTTGTTCAATTCTCCTGGGTCCCATCTCCCCCCCACTTCCCCCGATCTCCTTATATTCCTTGGGAACCGACCATTTATTGTGTCTGTGTTCTTTCGTTCCCTCCTGACGCTTGGCAGTAGTAGGCAGAAGAGCCACAGGCAGAATAGGTATCCCAACGAGCGAAGCCGCGCAGCAGGAACGCCTCGGGAAGGGATCGGGCAGGGCAGGCGGCGGGGTGGCCTGTCCTCCGTCGGGGGGACGGCAGGCTCCCGAGAGTGCCTCTCGGGGGGGACAGGCACAGGGGGGGGGTGCAGCGACCTGGAATCGGCTACTCCAGATTTCGTAATAAACGGGAGGGGGTCTGGACCCTCCAAGACAAGCCATTTCAGACCTCCCCCGTGGGAGAACCCTCCAAAACATCGTCCCCAGACTCCCCAAGGCCCTCCAAGATAGCCTGGAAGAGACCCCCCCCCGAAATGAGACCCCCCTCCCTTTATTACGAAATCTGGAGTATACAACGTCGATAGATCGGCGATAGGCCCCCGATAGTGACTCCGAACCTTCCTGGGCGGGGTGTGGCTATCGGGTCCCTATCGGCGACCATCGGGCGACTTGGGGTCGATGCGCCCCCCTCTATGCCTATCCCGCCCTATCGTTGCCCCCGATCTTAAAAGCATGATGGCTGCTGAGAAGCCCCCCTTGCCAGCAGGCCACCCCGCTATCCGCCCTGCTGCGGGGCGCAAGGGTCCTGCTGAAAGCGGGTCCTGTGGCTCCGGGGCTTCCCCAAAGACTGCCAGCGCTTCATCCGTTGTCTTGTGAAAGCCCCAGGGTGCCCGGAGAGGGCGCCGCAGTCGCCGATAACGATGGAGACCGAGGGTCCCATGTTTGGAGGTCTCCCACAAGGGATCCGAGCGAATGGAGTCGACGGATCACGTCGCATCGCTGATGTATCGGCGACGTCAACGCTGAGAAATCAGGATCCACATCGATCCGCATCGTCGATGCGCGGCGCGATCCTCCGACCCCATTGACTCAAACAACATTCTGGAAGCCTGGAATTTTCACCTCGGGGCAATAGTGGTCATGGCAACCCTCGCGTAACCCCCGTCTGCAAGACGGCAATACGGGTCAATACGGACGGTCGGGAGACGCATCGGGACTCGAAGATGCAAACCACGGGCTGACATTCGGCAACCGAGATGCAAATTGAGATGCAGACCACGAATTCGCACAACATGCATGCTGCGTGAAGCGGGACTCGCTTCTGTGCGCAGATGAAAACACGCCGCGCGCCAACGGCGCGCACGAATGGGCGTGAGACAGGTCCCGCCTCTCAGCGCACAAGAGACAACAGGACACTGCTGAGTGGAGCGGATCGCGCTGAACGAATTCGCACGACAGAGTTCGATCCAACGAGCTCCGATCGGATACTCCTGTACTAATTCTGTGGCACATCGCGGGCGGGACGAGCTTTTCTCGCCACTCTCTCTGGACGAGCACCCGTATAATTCTCCTACACGATGGGGCGGCGAAAAAGGTCAGGAACAGTTAGCATCGAATCGGATAATCTGGCAGATTCGGAATGTGCGTCGGATGAGGCTGCTTGGCACGGTCGAAACCGAATGGGATGGGCTGCGCCAGGATACACCAGAACAACACCATGCGCATCCATGGCCGCATCAGATCTACGGAATCTTGGACTCGAATCGGAGTGGGCCCGCCAGAATCGACATTGCAGCATCTTGATCGATCGCAGCGCAATAAGCTGGACGCGGCCGTACAACACAGACAGGTGGGTGAACGTTTCCTTATCCGGCGTCTCGACATTGGGCGGAAGGGGGGGGCGGTCTGGCTCCGTCTGCTTGCAACAGTGCGCCCGTCCCATGGAGGCTACCCCACCTGCCTGAAACAGGCGCCAAACACAGCCAAGACCTACTCCACGGGTGGTGGGGGGGGGGGGGCGGGAGGGGTCCGACGCGATACATTCGCCAAAACGTGGCCCAATACGTGGAGCCAACACGCAGCGTATTGACACGGACGTCTTGAACACGGGGCGTGCTGCGTTTCAAAACGGTCGTATCGAGGCAACGAAGTATAGCCAAGATCTACTCCACGGGTGGTGGTGGGGGGGGTCGGGAGGGGTGCGAGGGCCCGCGCCGATCGGCAAAACAATGCATAAGAGAACCGATGGCCAGATCGGCAGTACCAGTCGCAGGTCGGGCAGACTCTGGACGAAACATAAACAGTGGCTAAAGAAGTGCCCCACAGTAGCCAAAAAATACTCAAGACATCGTCTCCACAGTCTTTTTCCACCATTTTTGAACCTTCCTCCTGTGGCGGGATCGGGAGCGGCCAAGAGGGGGGTGTCCAAGAGGGGGGGGTGCAAATCATGACCGGCGTCATGTGCGCGGCCCTGCGGAGGCAAGGCACGCAATGCAAGAAGAAGAGGCGCCATGAAATCTGGGGAACTATCATGGCCCACGGCATGACATCCACCCCCCCCTGGCCATCACCCCCCTCGTTGCCGCCCCCGACAGGACCGGCCCGACTTACTGCCAGCCCCCGCTCACAGGCCGGGCGATCCCGGCAGGGGCGCGGCGGCACCCGAGCCCAGGCAGGGCGACGCGCGTGGGCCGCGGGCGGTCGGGGCCGCTGCGCCCTCCCCCTTGGCCGATCCCTCGGGCGCCCTTTGGAGTCTTCGGGGTCCTTCCGGGGGTGCCTGCGGGGTGCTTCGGCGGCGAGCGAGGGGGGGGAGGTGAGAAGGGGAATGCCGTCAGAGGGCGGCGGGGCTCCTTAGAAGCCCTCGCGCCGCCGGAGAAGTGTCCAGTGTCTTCGGGGCAAGCTTAGGGGCCGACCGTCCCGGCGTTCCTATAACCAGGCCTACTGCGACATGTTTCGCAGGACCCCGAAATGATCTGAGAACAAGAACACGGTTCTTCGATCGTAAGCCTGATGCGCCACAGCAAGACAGTCCCAGGCAGGGCGTTTCTGAGAGCAGTTCGTGCAGACCACGAAAGGTTCTTAGTACCTTCTTTGGTGGGCATGTAGGCGACCCAGGACGCTTCGCCCCTGCTTGAACCACCCCTTTCGCCACCCACACTCTGACTATCCACCAAGTCACCCCAACCCAACCCGAAGACACGAATCTCGCATCGGGGGGGTGTAGGGGGGGGGGGGGGCGGACTTCATGTGGGGTGTGGGGTGTGTGTTGTCAATGTTCCCCGACCCCCCCCCCACTGCAAATGGAGGGAAAATCGGGGCCTTCGGGTTGGGTTGGGTTGGGTTGGTGGGTGGTGACACTCCAACGAAAACAAAATGCCAACAGAAAGCACGAACATCAGGCCGGCGGTGAATCCCCTCGCCTCCTCAGGGCGCGACGCCTGGGCAGCCACGCGCGAACCCCACAAATGTGCAAATCAGGCTTCCGAACCACTGGCGAGGGTCCAAACCATGGAGGGATGCTTGCGGCCGAGTAAACCCCAGCTTGCGGCGGTGCCCGATGCCCAAGTGCCGATTGAACCCGTTCGCCAGCGGTCGCAAAAGAGTCGCGCCAGGGACGGGGGTTCAGCGCCGACCCAACAAAATCCGCGGGGCCCCCCGAACGCTTCTGCTTATGCCGTCTCTAAACATTCGACTGCCGCGCGGCCCTCCGCTCATGCCGTCTCTCGCCATTCGATTGCCTCAACCGACGGCCCGCGCGCGGTCAGACCCACGTCCTCGTGGCAGCGCCGCAAGGGGTTTGCGCGGAAGGGAGGCGAACTCCTGAGAAACCATGAGGGCTTCCGAGAAGGCAGGAGGCCTCCAAGGCAAGGCAAGGGGCTTCTCTAAGGCCCGCATGGCCTTTGAGAAGCCCTCCCCAGAACCCTCGAGACCCTTCCCTAAGATCCGACACCGCGAACCGGATCGATCTGTGATGGCCTCGGGACCCGAATACGACTTGAAAAGCCCGGTGAGAAAAAATGGCAACGCCCAGATCTCAAGATTCTAATTGAGGCCTCCGTCCGGATCGGTAACTACGGACAAACACGTATACGATGCCCAACAACATATGTTGTCCAAAACCGACGGCGGCCGCTGCTAAGGAGGCATTATTCCGTCTCAAATGGACAGCGTCCGCAGCGACGCCCACAGCGAATCCTCTTGGCCGCGTGGGCGGTTGGGGCCAATGCTCCCTCCTCCTTGGCCGATCACTCCTTCCGCCAATTGCGCCAAGCGGGCAAAGGTCTCCTTCTCCTCCTCCTCCTCCTCCTCCTCCTCCTCCTCCTCCTGGTCCTCCTCCTCCTCCCCTTCCTCCTCCTCCTCCTCCTCCTCCTCCTCCTCCTCCTCCTCCTCCTCCTCCTGCTCCTGCTCCTGCTCCTCCTCCTTTTCCTCCTCCTCCTCCTCCCTCCTGCTCCTCCGCGCGCACAAGGATCAGCGTAGGCGGAGGGGGGAGGGCTTCTCAGAAGGAGGCTGCTTCCAAGACGGCGCGGGTCTCACACCTATAGCAAAGGCCCGCGCATTCTAAGCAGCAGGGGCGCTAATGAGAAGCCTGCCCTCCTCCTCTCCGCCTCCTCCTCCTCCTCCTCCTCCTCCTCCTCCTTGTCCTTCTCTCCTCCTCATCCTCCTCCTCTTCCTCCTCTCCTTCTCCTCCTCTCCTCCTCCTCCTCCTCCTCCTCTTCCTCCTCCGTCCCATTCTCTCCTCTTCCTCCTTCCCCCCTCCCCTAATCCCACAAGGTCTCTTATACCCCACCAATTCCACCAAAGGAATTGCTTGTTCCGCGTGCTCGTTGAGAGAATCATCATTCCACCTCGGCGGCTGCGCTTGTAAGAAATCTTCCCTCCTCGGCTAATCCCACAAGGCCGCTAATACCCCACCAACACCACCAAAGACATCGCTTGGTCCGCGTGCTCGTGGGGAGAATCATCGTTCCACCGCGGCGGCCACCGCTGATAATCGCGGGGGAGACGAGGACCCCAGATGGCGACGAGGACGACGAGGGGAAGGGCAGAGAGGGAAGGGACGAGCTCCACTGCCAGCCGAAAGCTCAGGGAGGGGAGGGGGGGGGGGCGGGGGCAGGGGGGCGGGGGCACCGCGCACTGCGCGTGGCGGATGGCCACCCGCACTCGCCGTGGTGCCGCCCCCCTCGCGCCTGGCCCACCCCTTCCCTTCCTCCTCCTCCGCCTCGCCTCGCTCGGCGGCGGAAACTCACGGTTCCCCATGAAAATATATGAAAATGGGACCCGTCGCAAATCCACGCCCAGGGGAGGAGGATGAGAAGGAGGGGGGGGATCAGGAGGAGGAGATGGATGATCAGGAGGAGGAGGAGGAGGAGGAGGAGGAGGGGAGGAGGAGGAGGAGGAGGAGGAGGAGAGGGGGGGCGAGGAGGAGAAGAGAAGGAGAAGGAGAAGGGAGAAGGAGAAAGAAGGAGAAGGAGAAGGAGAAGGAGGAGAGGAGGAGGAGGAGGAGGAGGAGGAGGGAGGAGGAGGAGGAGGAGAGGAGGAGGAGGAGGAGGAGGAGGGGGGAGGAGGAGAAGGAGGAGGAGGAGGAGGAGGAGGAGGAGGAGGAGACCTTGACTGAAAAATGCCTTTGGATCAAGAGTTGGATTCTGGCTAGGCTTTCCCTTCCACATCCCTACTCACGTTGCGCCGCCATGGCCAGTCCGAAAGTTCAGGCTAAACTCGACAGCGCCTTTGCGTCAACCACCAAACGAGGACCTTCGTCTTCTCCGGTGAGGTGAAGCTCGAGAGTATTCAACGCCTGAAAAAGTGTCTGACTCAGACACGGGGATCTGGATCCAAGGGTAGCTCCGCTCAGCCTCCGAACATGGAGGTCCTTGAAGCCATCGAGGCGCTTTCAGCGAAGATGGACAATATGGCTCTCAAGTCGGACATCGATGTCTTGAAGGGGGCCTTTGACGAGTTCAAGAAAGAAATGAAGACTGAGGTCAAGGTCACTGTTGCAGAGGCCGTCGATCCCCTCAATGACTCCAGAGCATCTGTCTTGGAATCCCAATCGCCTTCATCAGGCGCCGACGCACGCAACATCAAAGATTTGCAGAACAGCGTCAGCCGCACGGACCCTGCTCGTCGTCGAATCGCTTTCGTAGGCTGGCCTGGTGACGTCGATGCCGACGTCCGCATCGCGAAGATGAAGGCCTTCATGTCGGACGATTTCAAAACGTTCCGGCCCTCTGGTTTCGGTAATGAGTACAAGGGTCGGCACACGAATCGTAAGCTTTCTCCAGGCTCCTGGGTCGAATTCTCTAGCGTCGAGGTCGCCATGTCTTTCATCTCCAACGTGTCTTTGTCCAGCATCGGGCTCAACGTCGATAGCAGAAAACTGATGATCAAGCCAGCCCGCACAGAGCTGCAACGCAAGCGGAACTATGCCATGCGAAAGCCCGAGGAACTTATCAAGGCCTCCGCACTGACCGCTGGTAAGGAGGTTCAGATTGAGTGGAAAGTCGACGGCTCCTGGGAGAGGCTCGTGACGGTCAACGGCACCACCGCGTTCAAGCAGGGGGGGAATGATGTCAAGGGGGTGTTCTTGCAGCCGTTCGCCGACCTCGTGATCCCCCAGGGGTTTCTCGGGGCCGCTCATCACCACGATACAATACGCATCCTGATCACGTTCCACGGCGCGCCCGCCAGCTTCTGGCAGATGAGCGGCCCCAACAGCTGACACCCCGACGCCAACGGCGTCGAGGTTCTCGGTCCTTTCTTGCACGTCATATTCGTCGCCAGCATTGGCTTCATAATTCGGGTCGCCAGCGCCCTCCTGGCGAAGGCTCGCGGAAATCCGAGCCAGAATCGCCAGATCCAAAGCTGTATATTTCCACGTTGCTTGTGAATTTGCGCGGTTTTCTCTTTCGCACCATTCCCATCTTTGGGGCCATCTTGAACTTTTGTTGCAATTACCCGATACCGTGGCAATCACCGAATCTTGGTTAAACAAGTCTGTTACGGAAACTTTGTTGCATGGCTACACTGTCGCATGGCGCCTCGACCGCCGCGACGGCAGACAAGGTGGAGGCATCATATTGTTCGCACGTGAATATTTCAAGAATTGCGTCGTCCACGTTGGCGATTCTCTTGATGCGGAGCGGTCTTGGCACATAGTCCACACGAATATCGGTCCGATGTTGCTAGCTCTTTTGTACCGGCCTCCTGAGCAGGGAACGGTCCACACTATCCACGCTCTATTGAAAGAGTGGCGCGGCTACCAGCATCAGGTCGTGGGCACCATTGTTCTGAGCGACATGAGCGTGCACCACAGCCAATGGTTGCGTTTCTCCTCACGGGGCGCATGTAACGAGGGCCGGGTCCTGCTCGACGCTTGCAGCCGCATGGGCCCAGGGGAGAACGTCGGGAAACCCAGCAGGAACACGCATTGTTGGATCTTCTCTTGACGGATTGGTCTTGCGGCCTGTCGCGCAAAGTCCTCCCGCCCATCACTGAGCACGATCATAATTCGGTATAAGTTGGTACACGTGTCTATTGCCATGAGCGCGAAGCGTTCTTCACCAATTGTCCGCGAGCAGCGGATGTTTCAACATGCACAGTGGCCCCAGCTCCGTGCCGAGTTGCAAAACATGGCTGGGAAATCGCTATTCGCATCCTGCTCTGCTACAACTGCTGCAACCAAACTCACAGGTCGCATTCTCGATACGGCGAAACAGTTCATTCCGACTTTCACCGCCGTCGCCTGGAAGTTTACCCACCCTTGGATCTACGAGGCGTGCGTGGAGCTCATCAGGAGAAAAGTTGAAGCATATGGGACGCCGAATTGTGAACGTCGACGGGACGAGTGCTCTGCAGCCCTCCGCCGACATTGCGACAAGTACGTTCAGCGAACTCGGAAGCGTATGATGGACTTGCGGCCATCGTGCGAGAAATGGTGGTCATTATGTGATTTGTTGCTGTTTCGTGCTGGCAAGGGGTCAGTTGGTATAGAGAGGGTCGTTGGCCTTGTCTGCTCGTAGTAAGGCCAATCTGCCCGCAAATACTTTCAGTGATAAGTTTGGTCTTCCACCTGAGGTCAACAACACGCTGTCTTCCACACATATGAGCAACACATTCTCGATGACCAGCTTCATGCCGACACGTTCCCGTGCGGTTTCGCGTATCCTGTGCGGGCTGCGAGAAGACATCGGCACTGGCCCCGACGGGCTATCATGTCGGATTCTGAAAAATGCGCCTCGCAGCTAGCTGCTGCTATTGCCATGCTTGCACGCTTGATGTTGGAGAGCGGCGAGTGGCCCGAATCATGGAAGCTTCATTGGCTGTACCCGCTGTTCAAGAGATACATGCGTTCGAATCCATCGAATTACCTTGGAATTCATCGCACATCCCAACTCAACAAAGTCGACGAGCGTTGCTTTCCAAGCATGCTGCTTCCTTTCTTCGAGACCGGTGGAGAATACGGGGGCCACCAATTTGCTTATCACACGAACCGGGGATACAGCGACGCTTTGGCATACATGGTGTGTAGTTGGATTCGTGCTGTCTGCAATGGTCGGCGCGCGGGGGTGTACTGTTCGGACGTGGCCAGAGCGTTAGACAGGGTCAACTCCGACCGCCTCATGGCTAAATTACGTGCGTCGGGTGTGCGCGCTCGTTCTGGTTGGCTTTCGGGGGGACAGGCTCACGTCAGCGTGGACGGACTCCTCTCCAAGCCTTTCTCGCTTCAAAACATGGTGGTCCAAGGCACGGTCCTGGGGCCGCCGTTGTGGAATGCGTTTTTATGCTGATGCCGAACTTGCTGTGAATGCGGCCGATTTCACGGAGTGCGTTTTCGCTGACGACCTCAACTGCTGGAAAGAGTTCGACGGTGTGGCCACAAACTCTTCTATCCTCGCTGCGTGCCGCCAGTGCCAGTCCACGCTTCACGATGGGGGCGCGGCCAACCAAGTGATGTTCGAGGCGACCAAAGAGAGCATGCACATTCTCGACAAGTGCCGGCCCCACGGGGTCGATTTCAAGATCCTAAGCGTACTATTCGACCCCAGGTTGGCCATGTGTCGTGCCGTCCAAGAAATTGCTCGCGAAGCCTCTTGGCGGCTCCGCGCGCTGCCTCGGTCTAGCAAGTTCTACAGCACAGCTGGGCTCTTCAGGCTGTTCGAATGCCATGTCGTCTCATTCGTGGATGGCGCGGTCCCAGCAATATTTCACGCAACTGATGCTGCCTTAGCTACGTTAGACGGCTTGCAAGGTGAATTTTCGGAAGGCGCTCGGGGTATCCTAAGATGAGGCCCTTTACCATGACAGCCTCGCCCCGGCATGTATGAGACGGGACTTGTCTATCTCAGGCTTGTTGCACAAAGTTGCTCACGGCATCGCTCCTCCTGTATTCTGTGCACTTTTCCCTCTCATGACGGGCAGCCTCGAAAGCCACGGCTTTGGTGGAGGAAGGCGCATGCACAACAGGGCGCTGCGTGATACAATTGAACCTGGCATGTATCCAATGATGTGCAAGTCCATTTTCGGTATGGTGTGTATTTTCAACCATCTTCAGCAACATTTCGTCGATTGCCCCTCTGAGAGACAGTTCCAGAGAAAGCTCCGATCCGCGGCAGTCGAAGCTATCAGATCTGGCCACAGCGCGTGGCACTACATTTTTCAGCGTGCCATGCCGCGCTCCGCAGTTGCCAATCGTGCGCGTCCCCACCTGAGGGCTTGTCATAGAAAAAGGAGGAGGAGGAGGAGGAGGAGGAGGAGGAGGAGGAGGAGGAGGAGGAGGAGGAGGGGCGAGGAGGAGGGGGGGCGGGAGGAGGAGGAGGAGGAGGAGGAACACGACGGAGGGCACAGGAGGGGGCCCCTGATCCATGCCTGCGATCGCCTGACCCCTGCGTGCTCCGCGGGTCACCTCCTCCTCCTCCTCCTCCTCCTCCTCCTCCTCCTCCTCCTCCTCCTCCTCCTCCTCCTCCTCCTCCTCTCCTCCACCTCCTCCTCTTCCTCCTCCTCCCCCCTCTCCTCCCTCCTCCTCCTCCCCCTCCCCTCCTCCTCCTCCTCCTCCTCCCCCTCCTCCTGACCCCTGCGTGCTCCGCGGGTCCTCGGCGGGGCGGGGCGCCCCCGGGTCCAGGCAGCCCGCCAGGTCCTCGCGCGGAGGGGCCGCTGGGCGAGGCGGCGGCGGCGAGGCCGCGGCGGGCCTCCCGCCCGGCCCCCAGTCTCAGAGGCCTCCTACTCCTCCTCCTCCTCCTCCTCCTCCTCCTCCTCCTCCTCCTCCTCCTCCTCCTCCTCCACTCCCCCTCCTCTCCTCCCCCCTCCTCCTCCCCTCCTCCTCCCTCCTCCTCCTCCTCCTCCCTCCTCCCCTCCTCCTCCCCCTCCTCTCCCTCCCCCCCCTCCTCCCCCTCCTCCCCCTCCTCCCCCTCCTCCTCCTCCTCCCCCTCCTCCTCCTCCTCCCCCTCCTCCTCCGATGGGGTCGGAGTCGACGGGGTCGGAGGATCGCGCCGCATCGCCGATACATCGGCGAAGCATCGGCGATGCATCGGCGACGCGCCAGCGATGCATCGTCGACGCCGGCGGTGCATCGGCGGCGTCGGCGTGAAGCAAATCGGGCTCCGCACCGAGCCGCATCGGCGATGCATCGGCGATGCGGAGCGATCCTTCGACCCCATCTACTCGGACCCCATCTAGGAGGCCTAGAAATCTTGAAGGGGCCCAGGGACACACAAATAAATGCACACAAATTCCAAGATTCCCCATATGTTCTCATAGTTTCTGGATGCTCGTCTCCCCCCCCACTTCCACTATTTTCCAACACTTTCTCCTGGGGATCGGCGATGCACTGTGTCTGTGTGTTTTTTGTTCCCCTTCCTGACATCTGGTTGAGAGGGAGTTCCCTTTCCTCGCCATCGCTAGGATTTCCATTGCCCGTGTTATTTGTTGTCTTCGCGCGCGTATTCTTCGCAAGATGGCCCAAAAGGCTCCTCGATGGTCGTCATTGGCCAGGAAAAAATGCGCGCACGGCTGAGCGATGCGGCGAAGCTTCAGAGACTCAGAATAATTCTTTACTTGGCAGGCGCGCTCCGCTATACTCGTGAGACCGACTGCTCGCACATGGCCTGGATCCTCCGCCGGGAATCCCCGATCCACTGCATCGAGGCAAGCATGTTTTTTCGCGGCCACTGTGCCTGCACTTGGGTCTCCTTACTTGCGTCAGTCAGGAAACGGATGGGTCCGGCGAGGGTTTTCCATGCTGCCGCCCGTGGCCGCCTCGTGTCCGCCTCGTGCGCTGGGTGGGTGCGGTGAGGTCTTGCGGGGATGCCGCTCGTGGCCGCCTCGTGGCCGCCTCGTGCGCTGGGTGCGGCGAGGTTTCGCAAAGTTGCCGCTTCGCGGCAACCTCGTGGCCGCCTCGTGCACTGGGTGGGCACGGCTGGGTTTCGCAAAATTGCCGCCTCGCGGCAACCTCGTGGCCGCCTCGTGCACTGGGTGGGCACGGCTGGGTTTCGCAACGTTGCCGCCTCGCGGCCGCCGCGTGCTCCGGCGAGGTTTCGCAACGTTGCCACCAGTGGCCGCCTCGTGGCCGCCTCGTGCTCCGGGTGGGTCCGGCGACTCTGCGCCGCGTTGCCGCCAGTGGCCGCCTCGTGGCCGGCTCGTGCTCTGGGTGGATATGCTGAGGTTCTTCCACGTTGCCGCCTGTGGCCGCCTCGTGGCCGCCACTAGCAAGCATTGGACCACGTTGCTTACATCATATCGCCTGCACCACATGGCGTACACATCCACAGTGCAGTAACTTACTGTTAGGGGTCCATGTGGGCTAACAAAAGCTTTCTAAGAAACCAGAGAAGCTGCGCTGCCAGACCGGGAGCCGGTCGAGAGACGTTGTGCTTCATTGTCGCATTGTCTTCCGTTGTCTCCCATTGTCTCCAATTGCCTCCCATTGTCTTGCGTTGTCTCCCATCCTCAATTGTCTCTCATTGTGCCTGCTTGGCTCCGATTACCTCCTATTGTCTCCCGTTGTCTTCCACTCTGTAACCCTGGCACTGCCTCTATCCCTCGTATCCCTATCCCTATCCCTATGCCGAAATCTCTATCCTCACCCTTTTATCCCTCTCCCTGCCCCGTATCCCATTCCCTGGCCCTATCCCTATTTCTATCCCCATCCCCACCTCGATCCCTACCCTTGGCTTCTACACAAGTCCCTACCCCAGATCCCGACCTTCACATCCACCTCGTCTTCATACATTCCTCTTATCCCATCTAGATGAATAAAACCGAAACCAAATCCATAAGCATAAAGATTTGGCGCTTCGCGCGGATTTCTTGGATCTGCGCTGGACCCGCCTCCCTGGCGCGGAGCGCGCCAGGGATGGCGCTGGAGGCGTCGCCGGGGTGGCCAAGCGCGGATCCGAGAAATCCGCGCGGACAACAGAACATTTATGATTGTGGCATTTCCGTCTTCTTCGACCATCCTTACCCAAACTCATCCCCATCCCCAGGTATCCTTATCCTATATCCCTGTCCCTGTCCCTATTTTTATCCCAATCCCCATCTCGACCCCTATCGTTATTCCTTATCCCTATCCCATGCCCTTCCCCCATGTCCCCGCCTCCACCCCTCATCCCTCTGCCGCTCCCCCCCCCCCCAGCGTGGCCTCCCACTGTGGCCTCCCATCGTGACCCACCATCGTGGCCCCCTTTCGAAACTATCTGTATGATGAGCTCGCGCGTGTCCCCCTACAGGCGGATTTGGGACGAAACACTTAAAATTGCGAGTAACAAATACGCCAATAATGCTCAAATATATTCAAAGTCGTCCCCAAACGATTCTTTGACTACTTTCGAATCGCCCCCCCTGTAGAGGGACAGGGCCGACTTACACGTAGAAGGGGGGTGCGTGGAGGGCCGTCTGCCGCCGGTGGCGCCGTCTTCTTGAGCACGCGCGGCCCCAAGAAACCACGACCCCCTTTTCGGCGGCGAGCGACGGGGGGGGGAAATGGGAAGAGGAAGGCCTTCTCGGAAGGCGGCGGGACTTCTCAGAAGCCCTCGCGGCTTCCGACGAGTATTTCTCTCTTTTCGAGGAAGGCTCCAAAAACGTCTCAGACGGCCAGGAACGAAGGCCGTCTCCTTTTCACTTCCCCGCCTCGAACGCCGCCGACCTTTCCCCTGGGGACTGCTTCTCCTCCCGAGCCGTCTGTGGCTGGCCCCCAGGGCCAAGCGACGGGCCCCAGAGGCCGAAAACCGATAAACAAAAACAACCTCCCACTGCGATTCGTCCACGAGGCAGGCACGTCTGGGCTTTTTCTGTTGCTCCCCTCGTATTTCAGGACCACATCCCAGACATAACTTCGAGGACGCAGCCAAGCATCAAAACAGTGCCGAACGAGTGTCGCCCCCTCCCTTGTCGGTATCTTCCTGGTGCTCGAAATGACTTGTTGGAACATCCTAAGTTCGGGCGGGGCGAAAGGGGGGGATAGCAAAGGGGGGGTTGAGAATCAGCGCCTCCCGGCGCCGGGAGGCGCCCATGTATCGAAGAATGGGTCCGGCGGCGGGGCCGAAACCAGCTGCATGCAGCAGACTTCGCACCCCCCCTTTCGATAATTATCCCCCCCTTCCCTTCGGCCCGAGAACCCTGACCTTCCAGAGAGCTATTTTGTTGCACTGGAGGCCTGAAAGCCTAAAAAACTAAACGAAAAAGCCTAAAACCAAGACGTAGAATCCGCCGACCCTGTCGGTCTCCGTCGTATCCGTCCTCCCCCTCCCCGGGCTCTCCTCCTCAAGCGCGCTATCCAAAGCGAAATAAAACGACGTCGTAGTGGAGTCGAAGGGAAGCCCCTTCCCTTTGATCCCTTCCCCGCAGGGGGGGGGGGGCCCGGGGCAGATACGACGCCCGCCGGGGCGCACTTTCCTCGAGCGGGCACGCACGGGATGCACTTCCTCCTCCTCCTGGTCCTCCTCCTCCTCCTTTTCCTCCTCCTCCTCCTCCTCCTGCTCCTCTCCTCCTTCTCCTCCTCCTCCTCCTCCTCCTCCTCCTCCTCCTCCCGCAGAGGCGTCCCGGGAGCGGGCCCCGAGTCAAAATACCACCCCCCTAGGGCGCATTTTCCTCGAGCGGGCACGCCCGAGATGCACTTCTTCCTCTTCCGGGAGCACGTCCCAAGTCAGAATATCACACTCCCGGGGCGCACTTTCTTCGAGCGGGCACACAAAGGATGCACTTCCTCCTCCTCCTCCTCCTCCTCCTCCTCCTCCTCCTCCTGCTCCTCCTCCTCATCCTCCTCCTCCTCCTCCTCCTCCTCCGCTTCCTCCCCCCACTCCTAGCCCTTTCGATCAGGGTCGGCGGCACCGGCCGTCAGGCCTCTCCAATAGCTTTGGGATAGGTTTTTACGTCGGGTGCTAGTTCTTAGCCCTCCTGGAAAGTCAGAGAAGTCCGGGCACGCAATCCTCCGCGGTGCTGAACCGGTGCAAGCCGGCCTTCCCGTACAGCCGGGCGAGGTCGGCGATCACCCGGCGGCGCGTCTCGCCCGCGAGGGCGCGCAGGGCGCCGCCGCGCACGCCGAGAACCGTCGGGCGGCCGTGGCCCGCGGGCGCCTCGGCGGCGGCGCGCACCCGCTGCGCGGCCGCCCGCTGCTGCGCCTCACTGGGGGCCGCTGGCACACACAATGGAGGCCCCGCCGCCTCCTCCTCCTCTTCCGCCTCCTCCTCCTCCTCCTCCGCCTCCTCCTCCTCCTCCTCCTCCTCCTCCTCCTCCTCCTCCTCCTCCTCCCTCCTCCTCCTCCTCCCTCCTCCTCCCTCCTCCTCCTCCCTCCCCCTCCTCCTCCCCTCCCTCCTCCTCCTCCTCCTCCTCCTCCTCCTCCTCCTCCTCCTCCTCCTCCTCCTCCTCCTCCTCCTCCTCCTCTTGCGCAGGCCGCTGGGCGCTGCGCCCGCGGCGTGTGGTGCCCGCGTTTCACCGCGGGCAGGCAAGGCAGGCATCTGGAGCCCTCCCACGACATGGCAGGAACATGCAGGCGGGGAGGACAGGGTGAGACACGGTACGGAGTGGACTTCTACCCCACGTAGCCTCCGTGGCACACGCGGAATCAGACAGCACGGCCTCCGCGGGGCCCGGGAGTTTCGGGGTCGGGCTCAGTGGGCGGCTTCACCTCGGCGCGGAGGGCACCAACATCAGGGACGGCGCGACGCAGGCCCGCGGCACAGCGAAGGCCAGCGGAACTCGTGGCACCCCGGAGTCGCTCCGAGCGGGACGAGGAGGAGGGAGGAGGAGGGAGGAGGAGGAGGGAGGAGGAGGAGGAGGAGGAGGAGGAGGAGGAAGGAGGAGGAGGAGGAGGAGGAGGAGGAGGAGGAGGAGGAGGAGGAGGAGAAGGAGAAGGAGAAGGACGAGAAACAGCGTGGATGGTAAAGTTGGCGAAGGAGAAGTCGAGACAGGGGAGGCTGTTGGAGCGGGCGGCTGGGGCACTCCCATCCGCAGCCTGGCGCCGCCACGCCCCTCCACTACAGTGCAAGGCCGGAGGCACCGGGACGGACAGGAACAAAGGAGGCAGGACCGAGAGAGACATGGGATAACAAGAAGAGAAAAGATGGCACCCCCGTACCCCCGTAAAGGGGAGGATCCCTCGTGAAGAAACGACGCCGGACTTGGTACCACGAGGGCCTTGTGGATCGCCTCCGTTGACCGCCGCACGGGTCACGACCCCAGGGGCGGACAGCGAGCCGTGGGAAACACAAAACAGGAGGAGGCAAAATGAAGCACGCAATACACACACGCACCCCCCGATGCACCGACCCGATGGTGGAAGCCGCCGATGGCGCCCGTGCGGATGCCCAGTCCAGGCGCGCTCGTGGAGCGGTGCAGCGGGTAGGGGGTAGCAGGCAGAGCGGAGGGTCAAACATACAAGATGGATCAGATGATCGAAACAGCGCAGTACACAGCAAACGAGCAATGCAGAAGAGCCTGTAGTGTTGACCATCCACGCCTCCAGTCAAGATCACGGATGCCTGGCCCGCCGAGGGGAGACTGCACTGGAACGAGGGGGGGGACGAGGCTCCCGGGACGGCTCCTGGGGCGCTAGGCTGGGCACAATGGGAGCACACCCCCCCCTTCACGCGGTGGCGGCAGAGCGAGGCGGACGCCTCATGCGAGCAGTTGACGTCTGCACGGGGCCGCTGGCACGAGCAAGTGCCTGCGCGAGCACTCGGGTGAGGCCAACAGGCCGCGCTGAGAGCGGCAGAGCTGCAGCACGGGAGCCATGCTGGCAGCGAAACCAACCGACCTCCAAATCCTGGCACTATGTGCGCATACACGATCGCCGTAGGATGTCTGTCCTCGGCGCCAAGCATACACTGATCTACCTTGACCATTTCACACCTTGCAAGAGATTGCCCAAACTCTGGAATCACTCTTACCATGTATACAGATCAGCCAGAGAAACAACCAGGCACGCGGGTGCTCCAGTAGTATTGGCAGCCTCCAGCAGAAACCATGACTCCTCCTCCTCCTCCTCCCTCCTCCCTCATCCCTCCTCCTTCCTCCTCCTCCTCCTCCTCCGCCCTCCTCCTCCTCCTCTTCCTCCTCCTCCTCCTCCTCCTCCTCGGCCCGGGGCTTAAGAGGTACAGCAAAGGCCAGTCCACAAGAAACCCAACCCTGAGACGCCAGGACGTCCATTGTGTTCTGGTGTGGGGAACGTCGCGCCTGCCACAGCAAGACCATCGAAACCCAAGAAGCCCAGGGCACCCTGGAGGCGAGCAAGGTGTTTCTCGGCATGGGTCTCCACTGTAAACAGACCCATCGGCTGGAAGAAGAGGTCAGAAACTGTTTTTTCGTCGGCGGCGAGGCGGAGGCAATCCGCACCAACGCGGGGCTGCTCGGGGCAACCGCAAGGGCGAATCTAGTCCGGCGTGCACGAGGCAGGAGCGAAGGCGAGGGCGGCCGCGCGAGGGGAGGAGGGGATGATATGCGTATCCGCGGCCTCCCTGGGGCCTGGGGGAGGGGTAGGCGGGGGGGTCAGACACGCATCCCCCCCACGGGGGTCCTGGGGCCTCAGAAAATACCAAGACAGGCGAAGAGCGGCCCGAAAGGGCCCCCAATCGCCAAACGATCGGTCCCAAACGCCTCCATGTCTTTCAGACTGCCCGGGGAGCCTCCAAGACGCCCCAAGAAGCCTACAAGAGCACTCCCGAGCAGGGTCCACCGAGGCAAAATTACTTGATATCCATTCGGTCTTCTAAACATTTGGGCGTCCTCGTCTTTTCCGCTCCCCACCCCTCCAAGACGGCCCGAGACGCCCCCAAGACAGCCCAAGAGGCCTTCAAGAGGGTCCCGAAACAGCCCAAGAGGACCCCAAGACATCCCACAACTACTCCAAGACGACACAAGCGGCCCTAAAGACGGCTCCAATCCAAGAGTGTGCCCAGACGGGGGATCCGAACGGACATTTCGAGCCCTCTGCCCCGAGAGGCTCCCAGGAGTCTCAAGAGATTCTCGAGAGGTCTCAAGAGGCCCACAAGAGATCCCCAGGAAGCCCGAAAAGGCCCTCACAGGCTTCCAACAGGCCACCAAGAGGCTCCCAAGAGGCCCCAGAGCCCCTCCACAGAGGCCCCCGAGAGCTTTCCGAAGAGACCCCAAGAACCACCCTTCTGGCCCACGTCAGCGTCGTCGTCGTCGCCGCCGCCGTTGTCGTCGTCCCCCTTCGGGGTCGGCGGCGCCGGCCGTAAGGCCTTCGCAATGCGAGGGATCTGGACATACAGAAACACCTACATTCCCCAATCAGTGCTTGCACGGAAGGGGCCCTAGCGGACATGGAAAGATTTGGCAAAAGTCTCTCGCCGATTTTGGTGGCTGGCTAGGTTCCTGGGTTCCTGGCTCCGGGTTCCCAAATTCCTGGTCATTGGTTCCGGGCCGAATTCGGTGGGTTCCGGGTTCCCCGTTCCCGGATGCACCGGTCGATCTCCTCATCGATCTCTTTATCGACCCCACGATTCATCAAACCATCCACTGATTGGGGCTTTTCCTTGATGTAATTCAACAACGGATGGGTAAACCTACCTTTCGGTCGGGCATGCCCCCCTACGGGGAGATTTTGGGCGAAAGATACAATTAGACAACACATGCCCCCAAATGGCCAAAACATATTTAAACCATCGTCCTTTAACTAGATCCTTCCTGTAGAGGGACAAGCGGATTACTCAGATCGGCGCCAGAGGCCCTCCCCGGCGGCTCCTCGGGCACCGCCCCCCTGGCGCGCTGGGCGCGCCGGCGAGGCGGGCCCAGCACCGATCCATGACATCCGCGCGGACATTCGACGCCCCACGCGCGCGCAATTTCCCAGCGCTCGAGCCTCGCCAGAGGCTGGCAAGACGACCAGGGCGACGTCGTCGTCCTCTGCCCGCTCCCGTCGGCGGTGGACAAACCTCCCTTTGGGAAACCTCCCCTTAGGGAGAACGGCCTGGGGCCGAAACCGACAGACCTGGGCCCGCAAAAATGACGGCCGCGACGCCCTTTCGCGGACTGAAAACGGCCAATTCGCTAATCGACGTGTCAGGGTGGGAGGTCTGTCCACCCCCGCTCCTGAACCGAGTGGATACAGTCGAAGGCCACCGACCGCACAGCGTGGACCACATAGAGGGTGAGCTCCGAGGCGCCCGCCGCCAGGGCGTCGCAGAGCGCGGCCGCGCAGTCTCCCAGCTCCGCCGGCTCGCCCAGCGTGCGCAGCAGGCCAAGGACGGTGCTCGTGTGCAGCACCAGGGGCGCGGCCAGGGCGGGCCACTTGCCCTCGCGGAGCGGCTGGAGCTCGAGGAGGGCAGCTGCGGTGTCGTAGGCGTCGCGCTCCGGCTGCGGCATCGCGAGCATGGCGCGCCGCCCGAAGAGCCTGCCCTGGGTGCAGCGGGTGAAGAACAGCTCCGAGACGTCCTGAAGGAGCGCGTCCCTGGCGTTCAGCACGATGTAGAAGTCCGACTGGACCTCGCTGGCTGCCTTGAGCCTCACAGCCTGCTGGGCACGCCACTCGTCGGCACCCCTTGGCAGACTCACGCTTAGAAATCTCACTTCGCCATGCAGTTTCAGTACGGCTAGAATGTTTGTCAACTGCTCGGAGAACTCGTCTGGAGAAGTCAGAGAGACCCACACAAGGATCACCTTACCAAGACGTCGAAGAGGATCCTGTCTGAGGATCGCGTTCGCAGTGATCTCCATGGCGCACAGGTCTTCTCTCACCAGGGTGATAACTACAGCGGGCGCACTGGTGTCCCACTGGCAGAGATTATCGCAGCTCGTGGAGGCAGCGGTGGTGCCACTGGTTGTGTTAATTGTGGCGTTGCTGGCGACGGTGGTGGTGGTGGACGACTGAGTGGTCGCTGTGTTTGGAAAGCGCGCTGGGCCCGCGTCTCCGGGGTCACCTGCAGCCATGGGCGTCACCTGTCCAGGATGAGCGTCATCCACACCCGTGAATACCTGAGAGGAAGAAACACGCCAGCAAAGCATCCGAACAGCAGCAAAGATGCAGAGGCGGATCGAGTTGCAAGAGGTGGGCTAGTGAAAACGAACATCCCTGGAGACTCCTAAGGATTCCTAAGAAAGGCCTGGTCATGTGAACCTTCATGGATCTTTCAAAATGGATCGTGGCTGTCTGGACCGCACTGGGGCGAGAGCGAGATTCATGAATCAATCGTGAGGAAGTCTCGGGCAAAGAAACTCTCGGACCAGGCGTCCCTGGGCCCCGCGTCCCCACTGTGGGACTCTTCTGCGGAGTTTGCATGTAAAGATGAAGCCAAAGCGAAGCTAAAATCCGGCGAGGATAAATCGAGAATCTCTGGGATCCTGTGGTTCTGGAGGATGTATCGGGCGCCGCGGCCTTCTCAGAGCGGTACAGCATACTCTGAAAGCGTTTCAGAACGCTCTGGAAAGAACTGGTCCTCGTCCTGGCCCCGTCCGATGTTTGTTCCACTATCGCGTCTTACTAGCGAAACGATATTGGGGAAAAACTGTATCAGCATACATCGACGGAGGTCCGCGCGAATTGTGGATCGGCGCTGGCTCTTGCTTCTCCCAGGGGCAGCGGCGGAGCCGACAGGGGAGCCAGCACCGACGAAGGAAATCTGCGCGAACCTCTGGGAATATAGAATCGGTCAAACTGTCTGGCACACCCGACATGGATCCTGGAAGAAACGATACTCACGATACCCAGCAGCAGGCATTTCACAAAACAACCAGCTGTCGTACAGCGTCCGTGGCGACGCCGACAGCGAGTCCTCCTGACATTGGGCAGCACCTGCCGTCGGTGTGAGTCCCCGCTCTGTCCGTATTCCGATCGTACCGAACTCTCTCAGACCTCCGACATCGCGCTTGTTTCAGGTCGGGCATGCCCCCCGACAGGCGAACTTTGGACGAAACATGAAAAATGAAATAAAAATATTCCCAAAAAGTCAAACAATACTAAACACATCGTCCCCTGACTATCGATGTGTCTATTCTGAATATTCCCCCTGTAGAGGGACGCGCCCGACCTAACGCTTGTTTCACGACAGTGGGCCCCAAGAGGTCTCGACCCCTCCCGCATGACCGGTTCGTCGTCCCTGGCCATCCTTGTGAACATTTTGTCGCAGAAGGCATCTATACACCACCACCGTGCCAAGACAGGGCCATCCTGGGCCCCAGGATGGTGTATACGCCCTCCTGGCCGAGGCCAAGAGGGTCTATACACCATCCTGGGGCCCAGGATGGCCCTGGCCTGGCACGGTGGTGGTGTATAGATGCCTTCGTCGGAATTTTGTTCTGTCGCAGGTGTCCCTCATCCTGCTTGCTCTTCTCCGTCTTTTCTTACGATTCTGACTATGGTGTTTCTTCTCCGTATTGTTATTGTCAGGAGGTCGGTTCTTATTCGTAGTAACGTTTGTATGATTAGTTTTATGATTATTGTTACGCGTATTATTGTCATGAGTATTGATAGCATTGTTAGGACTGATAACATGATTAGTTTTACTGTCAGTAACATTGTTATGATTAGTGTTATGGTGCTCCCTTCTTTGACCCCAGGGGCCTCCCCCCGCCGAGGCCGGGGGGCATCCGTGAGATTCATGGCCAGCACATGCTCTTGGCCAGGCGCTGCTTGCTTGGGGGCAGCAAGCGGGAGGGGGGGGGAGGAGGAAAGAACGGAACACCTGACGTGCAGAGCTGGGGCCCCCTCGTGGTCCTTTGAAGGCACCCGTCGCGCAACCCGCGATACCCCCCCCCCCGAATGATCGCCCCCTCGTGCGAAATCCCACGCCAAACACACACACAACCACACACACAACAAAACACATAAACAAACACACACATGCACACATGCACCAAAGGGAAAACTTCCTGGAGACCAGGACGGCAAACTGCCGTATGGGCACCTCCGCCCGAGGAGGCCGGGGTTGTTCTTCTGTCACAGCGCGAGGAGGTCTGGGTGATCTCTGAAATCCGACGGTGCGAACAGAATGCAACAGCGAGACAAGTCACGATCAATACCCTGGACCCCGTCCTCCTGCTGCATTTCTCTAAACAAATGTTCAAACTGAGCGACGACGCCCAGCTCGGACAAAAATCAGACGCCAGCACCTCAGGGTCCTGTTCTTCGTCGCGAGGGGCGAACGTAGCCAGATCCACGCCCTCGCAAACTGGACTCCGGGGCGCGATCCCGTGGATTTGCGGTTGCATGGACGCGTTCCGCGCGCGGCATTCGCCACCAAACGCCCCGTATCCACGAGGAGGAGGAGGAGGAGGAGGAAATGGAGGAGGAGGAGGAGGAGGAGGAGGGAGGAGGAGGAGGAGGAGGAGGAGGAGGAGGAGGAGGAGGAGGAGGAGCGCGGCATTCGACACCAAACGCCCCGTATCCACGGCACCAGGGCCCCGCCCGCGAGGCCGAGGACATGACTTTGCTTTCCAACTGCGGCTTTGGCATGGGCACCTCCGCCCGCCGCGGCTGGACGGCGCCAGCGACGCCCACGGCCATCACGTCCACGGGCACCTCTGCGGGCACGACTTGTGCCCATACCCCAGATTTCGTAATAAAGGGAGGGGGGTCTCATTTCGGGGGGGGTCTCTTCCAGGCTATCTTGGAGGGCCTGGGGGGGTCTGGGGACGCTGTTTTGGAGGGTTCTCCCACGGGGGGGGGTCTAAAACTTATCGTCTGGGAGGTATGAGACCCCCTCCATTTTAATACGAAATCTGGAGTACCCACTGAAGCTTGGAGTTTCGGGCTGACTTACCCCAAAAGCCCCGTGCGCACGGGATGTGGATCAAAAGCTGGCCCCATGTGGAGGCCCGAACCTTCTCCACATCCAGTGCGCCTCGGCCTGGTGGGGCCCCTTCAAAGACAATCCGAGACGCACTGTTCGGTGGCAACTCATGGGAGCCTCCCATACCATCTTGTCGGCTGTTGCGAACCGACGCTAATCGACGCTAGTTCGACGATCGTCGACGCTAGATCGACGCTATCACATGCACTCCCAGACGCTAGTCGACACAAAAGGCAGAATCAAGAGGCTGCACCAGGCTAGATCGACGCTGACCGACGCTCTCTCATCCACTCCCAGACGCGAAAGACAGACTTAAGAGGGTCGCCCAGGCTCCCATGATTTAGTACCAAAACAGTGGGTATGGGCAAACATCTTGCCCGCTGCCTAAATCCGCCGACCCTGTCGGCGTTTGTGAGGGGCTGTGCCGCCGTTCGTCGTCGTCGTCGTCGTCGTCGTTGCAATGCTCTAGCGAGCTTGAGAGAAATCGACCCATGTCGTAACCACGTCAAACGGAATCCCCTTCCCTTTGTCCCTTCCCCGGCGGGGGGGGGGTCACGGGGGGGTCCCGGGGGGTCCTGGGGGGTCCCGGAAGGGGTCTCGGAGAGGTCCCCGGGAGGGTCCAGGGGGGGGTCGCCACCCAAACGCGGTCCCCGCGCGGTTCCGGAACCCCGCGCGGCTTCCCGGTTCCCAAAATGGCCCCTGGAAGCCGAAAATGACCAAAGACTGAACATGTAGAACAACTCTCCCTCCCCCTCCTCCTCCTCCTCCTCCTCCTCCTTCTCCTCTTCTTTTTCTTCCTCCTCCTCCTCCTCATCCTCCTCCTCCTCCTCTTCCTCCTCCTACTGCTCACTATGGCGGACTCCGAACCCCAGGCTCGATGATCGAGGCTTTCTGGCGCCGCCAGAGCCCTGTCTTCGGCCACCCTCCTGCTCCTCCTCCTCCTCCTCCTCCTCCTCTTCCTCCTCCTCCTCCTCCTGCTCCTCCTCCTCCTTCCTCCTTCCCGCCATCCCCCTGTCCTAATCCTCCTCCCCTCCTCCTCCTCCTCCTCCTCCTCCTCCTCCTCCTCCTCCTCCTCCTCCTCCTCCGCCTCGTCCTCCTCCTCCTCCCCTCCTCCTCCTCCTCCTCCTCCTCCTCCGCCTCCTCCTCCGCCTCCGCCTCCGCCTCCGCCTCCCCTCCTCCTCCTCCTCCTCCTCCTCCTCCTCCTCCTCCGCCTCCGCCTCCGCCTCCGCCTCCGCCCTCCTCCTCCTCCTCCTCCTCCTCCTCCTCCTCCTCCTCCTTCCTCCTCCTCCTCCTCCCTCCCCATCCTCCCTCCTCCTCCTCCCCCTCCTGCTCCAACCTCCACCTCCGCGCTCCTCCTCCCTGCTCCTCCCTCCTCCTCCTCCTCCTCCTCCTCCTCCTCCTCCTCCTCCTCCCTCCTCCTCCTCCTCCTCCTCCTCCTCCTCCTCCTCCTCCTCCTCCCCCTCCTCCTCGCTTCCTCCGCCTCCTCCTCCGACCTTTGGACGCCCGAAATGGGTACGGAAAAGATGGGCACAATGCCCAACAACAAATTTTGCCCCAAACCCGCAGCGGCCGCTGCTGGGCGGGCGGCCCTCTGTCTCAAAGGTACACAAGCCGCGACGACACCGACAACCAGTCCTGTTCAAAATTAGCAAGAACTGCTGTTGAGCATTGTACCCTTAAGTCGGGCATGTCCCCCATACAGGGGGATTTTCGATGACGAACAAACAAAAACCCAAACATAGTCAAATAACAATCCAAACATCGTCAGGGGACTATGTTTGGACTATGGTTTGACCTATTTGGGGTACTTTTAGGTTTTTTTTGTTTTGTTGTTTGATTTTTCGTTGAAAATCCCCCTGTAGGGGGACACGCCCGACATAAGACTTGCTGCTCGAACTCTTGCCCGCGACCTCTACCCGCCGTGCCCTGGCGAGCCCGCCGCGCCCCCCCGCCGGGGCCGCGCCGCCCGCCGCGGGGCCGCCGCCGGCGGCGAGCCTCCAGGCGAGGCAGCCCGCCAGCCCGACCTCGCGGCGGATTTTGGGTCGCGCGCGTCCCCCCACGGGCGGATTCGGAAGGGAAAACCGAAGGTGTTCAGAAGTAGTCAAAGAGAGTTCAAACCAAATCGTGCACATCGGATGTGTGGTTCTATGTTTGAGCATTCCTCCTGTAGAAGGACATACCCGACATAACGCTGGATCTGTGTGGGGGGGGGGGGGGGCCTTCCCTGGAGGAGAGGAGGAGGAGGAGGAGGAGGAGGAGGAGGAGGAGGAGACTTAGACATCCCTGAGCGAAGACAAACAGAGTTATCCGACTGAGTTCGAGCGTTGGCACTGGTGGGAAAATCACACGGGCCCCTCCACAACACTTTCAGTTGTGAGCTGCGGGCGCGGAGGTGGCGGCCCATTCGTCTCACGAAAGGGAGCAAGCGCAGCCGGGTGCCGCATCCTGCGGCAGAGGGCCCCCGACGGCATCCCCTGCCACAGGACCCGGACACCGCAGCGGCGCCTGCCCCCTCCCGCGCTCCGAGGAAGACGAGGAAGACACGAGGAAAGAGAAGACGAGGAAAGAGAAGACGACGAGGAAAGAGAAGACGAGGAAAGAGAAGACGAAGAGGCCGGCGCCTCCAGCACCGACCTCTTCTCGAGACCACGCGGGGCAGCGCTTTCGGCCACTCTCGGCCTCCGCGGGGCCTGGGCCCGCTCCCTTATATGCCACTCCGCTGTGCTGTCCTCTGCGCCCCCCCGGGAGGGCCGAGGCCCATGCCTCGTCCAGGCGGAGCTCGACGAGAGCTCCAAGACGGCGGCCCTGTACACCCTACGAAATGCTTAAGAAATCATGGGTTAAGAAATTCATAGTCTCAGAATTTGAATAAAAAACCACAATTTCGATTGAAATCTTAGGATTCACATTGAAACATTAAGAATCATCGAGACTCTGGCCGAAAACGCAAGTTTTCTTAAACATCGCCTGGGGTGTACTTCGGGGTTAGACAGACCCCCCTGTAGTGAAACGTGGTTTGGTGAAAACGACCCGAGGCCCAAACCTGGCGGGCGCAGGCCTGGAAAATCACGGCCAGGGGCGCCCACTCGCGAGCCGAAAACGGACCACTCACGAATCGACGTGCCACTGTTGGGGGTCCTGTCCACCCCCGACTATGCTGCGCCGAGCGGCCCACTGTGGGCTATGCACTCAGGCTGCGGAGCTGGCTCGACGGGATGGTCACAGGAAGGACACGAACCATCGCGGGGGGCCTCCCCTGCCTGTCGAGGCCTCCGGCGCCGACCTCCTCCCGCGATCACGAGGGAGGAAAGCGTTGGCGCCACTGTCGGGAGCGGCCAAAGAGGGGAGTGTCCAAGAGGGGGGGGGTGCAAATCATGACCGGCGGCATGTGCGCGGCCCAGCGGGGGGGCCAGGGACGTAATGAAATAAGAAGAGGCGCCATGAAATCTGGGGAAATATCATGGCCCCCGCCATGATGTCCACCCCCCCTTAGTCATCACCCCCCTCTTTTCCGCCCCCGGCACTGGGGGCGTGGGCCCGTTGCCGGAACGGCATGGCGGCCTGAGAACAGGTCCAGACCTCTGGGGGCCGACCGCTTGAACTGGATACGACGTCGGAGATCTGGGGCCCCTGAGGGGGGGGGGGGGGGGGCGATCGTGGGGGAGGGGCGGCTCTGCGTGGCGAGAGTCGGGTGGGGATCGGCGACGCATCGCCGATCGTTCGGCGGTAGGCCTCCGGCAGTGCAAGCGCAGGTGCACGGGCGGGGTGGGCGCTGACGGCGAAACCGCAGACGGGTGTCGATGCCTCCCCCCTGCAATCCGACATCGCTCGGACGTCCACTCCTCGAGGTGCGCATTCTTCGGCTTCGCGCGCGAACGTTTTCGCAAGAGGACCCAAACTGCTCCGCGATGGTTCTTGCCGAGACAAGCATCCGCCACTGTGCCTGCAGCATGTCGTGGAAAGCCCGGGGCACCGATTAAACCACGACCCGGAGACTTCTTGGGATTCCCAGGAATTCCCCGGGGATTTTCGGGGATTCTCAGGGTGCGTGCACGCCCGCGCGCGCGAGCCCTCTGGTCGCGCCGCCGGCCAATCGTGGACCCAACAAGCGCCCAATAGGGCCGAAGATGCCTTCGAGAGGGTCCAAGAGTGCCCCAAGACGCCCAAGATGGACTCAACACGTCCGGACAGGCCCCGAAGACGTCCCAAGAGTTTTCCAAGAGGCATCCCAAGAGGGCCCCGAGAGGCACAAATCGTTGACTATCCGTGGGCTTTTGAAGCTCACTGGCCCCAAACGAGGGCCCCAAGACGGCCTTACTAAGACGGCCCAAGAGGCGCCCAAGACGGCCCAGAAGGGCCCACAGACGGCCCCAAGAGGGGGCCCAAATGGGGAGCCCGAACGGGCAGTTCGAGAGCCCTAAGAGGCTCCCAAGAGGCCCCCAGAACTGTTCCCAAGAGGCCTCCGAGAGCGCCCCGAAGGGACCCCGAGAAGAATCCCTGAGAACTCTGACCCACAACCCAGGTACGGTGGTGGGATGGTCCGACGGCCACCAGATCCGCCGCCCCCTGTTGGCTTGCCACAGGCGTGCTGGGCCTGCTAGACCCTAGACGGTTTTGGTTCCTGGGGCTTCGGCCCAACGCGCTGGCCACCTGGAAGGGACCGCAAACTGCACATGTCAACCTTTCACGCCCAAGATGGTCCCAAATGGAATGCATCCAAGACGGCCAAGATGGCCCAAAATGGCCTCCACGTCTGCCTAAATTGGTTCAAGATGGCCTCTAAGACGGCCCAAGAAGCCACCAAGACGGCCCGAATTGCCTCCCAAGAGGGCTCCAAGACGGCCCAAGAGGGCTCCAAAAGGTTCTCCAGGATGGCCCGAAGAGGTGAGGAGGGATGTTAGCTTTTGCTTCTTTTCGGCCTTCAGACTGCACAAGAGTCCCCCAAAATCGCCCCAAGATCGCCCAAGAGACCTCCAAGATGGCTCCATGACGGCCCACGAGTCCCCCGAGACAGCCCCAAGAGGACCCCAAGACTGCCCAAAAGCGCTCCAAGACGCCCAAGATAGCCTTCAAAACGACCGTGAAGCGCCCCAAGGCGGTCCTCAGTCGGTTCAGAGAGGCCCCCAAGACGGCTTCCGACGGCGTCATACGGGCCAGGGATGCCCTCAGACGGCCAAAGAGGCCCGCGAGAAGCCAACCAAAGGCCCCCCAAAGGCCCAAGGAGGCCCCCAAGATGCTTTCAAAAGGCTCCAAGGAAGCTCCAAGGAGACCGCATGAGTGCCCCCAGAGGCTCCCAAGATGACCCCTCCTCCGCCTCCTCCTCATCCTCGTGATCTTCCCCGCCATCCTCCCCCGAGTGTTCCCCGATGGGTTTCTACAAGGCTGGGGGAACGCATGGACCGACAGCTTCGGACACATTGGCGATTCCAACATGCAGGGGGCGGCGGTGATTCGCCGTAGGCGTCTTCGATCCGCCGCCCCCTGTTAATTTATCACAGGGGTGCCTGACGTGCTAAACGCTATACGGCTTGGATTTGGTTCCTTTTCGAAATGAAATCCCACTGGCGCGAAATTTCCAGGCAAGGTGGTCGCAAAGGCTTCTGCTGCTCAAGATGGCCCCAAAGACGGCCCAAGAGGCCTACTATTCACACAAGATGGCCTCCAAGACAGCCCTGGCGCAGCCAAGAGGGCCTCAAGTCGGCCCAACGAGGCCCCCAAGACGGCTTCTGACTGCGTCATACGGGCCAGGATCGCCCTAAGACGGGCAAAGAGGCCCGCAAAAGCCAACCAAAGGCCCCCAAGAGGCCAAGGAGGCCGCCCCAAGATGCCTTCAAGATGCCTTCAAGAGGCTCCCAGGAGGCCCCAAGAGTGCCCCCAGAGGCTCCCAAGATGCCCCCTCTTCCTCCTCCTCCTCCTCCTCCTCCTCCTCCTCCTCCTCCTCCTCCTCCTCCTTATCGTCCCCGCCATCCTCCCCCGCGTGTTCCCCGATGGGTTTCTGCAAGGCTGGGAGAACGCATTGACCGACAGCTTAGCAGAGCTCTTGCCACAACCCTCGGCCACGGGGGCGATTCCAGAAAAGGCAGTAGGGGCGGCGGGGATTCGCCGTGGGTGTTTCCGATGCACACGTCCGAGCGGTGCCAAGGCTAAACCTATCCCCGCCCCCATTACGCTGCCCCTGATCCCCTGGACCGGCCACCCGCGTCAAATCTTAGGTCGGGCATGTCCTCCTGCAGGCGGATGTTGGAGGAAACCTTAAAGTAGCCCCAAAAAAGTTCCAAATTACGCTACCGAGGAACCCCACATACTTGATTTAAAACTTATATGTTTGCCTGCCGCGGAACTGCTACGCCTGCCGCGCTTTGCGAGCGTGCGACCCCTGCGCACCCCCCCTTGGTGTCGAGGAAATGCTACGCCTGCCGCGCTTTGCGAGCGTGCGACGGATAGAGACCGCACCCCCTGCGCACCCCCCCTGGTGTCGAGGAAATGCTGCGTTTGCCACGCTTTGCGAGCGTGCGACGGATAGAGACCGCACCCCCTGCGCCCGCCCGAGGAAATGCCACGCCTGCCGCCCTTTGCGGGCGTGCGACGGATAGAGACCGCACCCCCTGCGCACCCCCTTGGTGTGGAGAAAATGCCACGCCTGCCGCGCTTTGCGAGCGTGCGACGGATACAAACCGCACCAACTGCGCACCCCCTCTCGTGTCGATGAACTACCACGCCTGCCGCGCTTTGGGAGCGTGCGACGGATGGAGACCGCACCCCCTGCGCCCCCCTGTGGTGTGGAGGAAATGCCACGCCTGCCGCGCTTTTCGAGCGTGCGACGGATACAGACCGCACCAACTGCGCACCCCCTCTCGTGTCGATGAACTACCACGCCTGCCGCGCTTTGCGAGCGTGCGACGGATGGAGACCGCAACCCCTGCGCACCCTCCTGGAGTCGAGGAAATGCCACGCCTGCCGCGCTTTGCGAGCGTGCGACGGATAGAGACCGCACCAACTGCGCACCCCCTCTCGTGTCGACGAA